AAAAGTCCAGAGAATCCCTTAAAGCCCTCTTCGATATAACCCCGATATGGCCCCAAGTAACACTGTCTAATCCTGCAATGCCTATCGTGCGTGATTCTGTGCCCCGACCAGACGTTGGCCAACCGCCACCCTTTGACGGAGCCATCCTTCCACGGCTCCTACTTGTAGGACGAAGTCGCCACTTTCAATGTACCGACATGTACTTGAAGCCCTGCAAGCACAACGGAAAAGACGTGTAGCAGGTACTTATATGAAACTTCCCGACCTAAATTGAAAACCCTGAAAGTGCTTGTTTACGAAAACGTCATAATGGCAGTGCTTTTGGATCTCGCGCAGCTTGGCACCCCTCCCAGCCGTGGGTTGCGCATTGGGCCTCACCCCATTACATGAAACGGCTCGGAGGCCGGTCCAGTCCACAGCCTTTGTGAATTCCATGAAAACATGCGGCTTTCCAAGCCAGCATGCAGCGACTGTTCCAATGTCGCGCTCCGGCGGGCGAGGAACTCGAGCGCGCAACAACGCCAGGAAAGGATCCCACAACGCTTCTGGCGAGCTGGCCGGCAGCGGAAAGCCTCCACGTGCTGCTGACACGTCAGCATCATCAGGGGCCGGCGCAGGGGCAGGGGCCGTGCCAGGAGCACAGGTGCTCCGCGGGGCTGGAGGAGCCCACTTCTTCTTCATACCTCTGGCAAGTTCCCTTCGTATTTTGCCACGCTGGAGTCCAACTGCTGCGTTGCTCGGGTGAACAATGATCCCTATAGAAGAATCCCTCTATAATCCCTGCGGAACCAGCATACAACCCTAAATGACACGATAAGCTCCTACGTAATATGTATATGATATATCCCTACATAACCCTATACAATCCCTGTATTACCCAAACAGAACTCAGCAGCCACAGGAGGCCACGAAACGTTGGTGTTCCACTGCAAGGTTCCTTGGCGGTCTCATTTCAGGAACACTGCAAAATGGGAGGACCACAGGGGTTTGGCGTTTAGGGTTGTGAAACCTCAGCCTGGAAATGTTTTGAATAAGGTTCATGGCAGATGTGAGCTGAGCGGATCAAAGTATAGCCATGCAACAGCGCATGGGATGGAGAGCTTGGGGAAGAATGCTCCATTCTCTCAGCAAAAAAGCTGTTCAACACCAACGTGGAACGAGGGAATTTTCATAGTTAGCTTAGGCGGGAATGGCCTGCGTGACGGAGTTGGGGGCTACCCTACTGGACGAAGACCAACTACCTACATACGCGGATGATGGCGAAAATGTTATGTTGACTTTCATCGCTGCCATAGATTGACAAATGGGGCTTGCCGAAATATTGTGTTGGAGGAAGAATGCTGCGCAAGGCGAAACTACGCTTGTCTGGTTTGAGGACTGTAGAATAGGTTCGCTTGACGTAGCTAGATCGGCTGCAAGCTTCCTAGTGGTAGTGAGGTAGTGGAGGCGGTGGCAGCGGCTGTGCATGGTGCTCGCCGCAGCCGCAGCAGCAGCAGCAGCAGCAGCAGCAGCAGCAGCAGTGCATGGTGCTCGCCGCAGCCGCAGCAGCAGCAGCGGCAGCAGCATTGCGAAGAAGACCATTCCCAGCAGAAAGACTATGATTACCTTGTTGTTCACGTTTGCCATTGATAGACACAAGAAAGATGTTGATGGTGGCGTTGCTGCTGCGGACTTCCATCAAGTCTTCGGTGGCTCAACAAGCAACATCTCCCTTGAAGTGACTCGAAGTAAGAGGCCGGACGACGGGGCCAGAAGATGCGAACACCCATCACACCTCACCGTCTCCACCTGACCCTTACCCCCAGCATAACCTGCAGCCGTGTGGCTGGTGTTCTGCACTATCTTATAAGAGTAATCGCAGTCAGCCGATGTCGTAGCCACAATTGCCTGCAAAACCCTTCTATCTTCTCAGGCAACATGCACTGCAGAACCACGTAGGGTCTATCTTCTCAGGCAACATGCACTGCAGAACCACGTAGGGTCAACACAACAAGACACAATGGTTTTAGCCAGCAATTGGCTATTGTGATCGGGCAATAAAAAACAACCGCGCATGATGCTCCCATTAACTGTCTGTATCCTCAGATCTCCCAAGATGCCCACATTTCGTGCAATCCTGCTATCCTTCTTGAGGAGCAGCACGGTGCTTTACATTGCACGTTTGCTACAACTAAGTCAAGTTTTGTGCCATGAAAGACAGGCCTCAGATGAGGATCAGGGTTGTCCGTTGAGAACTTAGGGCTGGTATTACATGGAATATCCTGGTATAAACGTCTGCATTGCTATATGAAAATATATAACAGTACTGTGACTGATATGCTTGTAATAGGAGCCTCCTGCTATCTTGGTTATGACTCGGAGGGCATCTGCCCAACTTGAAATCGCTTTCTTTTTTTCCATTTTCTTGATGATCCGTTCTTGAGGGGGTGCCATCCCTAACCCTATGCAATCCCTATAAAACCACCATAACTAGAATCCCAGTATAAACCCTATACAACTTCTATATAACTCCTTTATAATCAATATATAACCGTTATATGAGCTACTGTCTAAACTCCTAGTATCCCCCTTAATAACCCTATAGTAGTCCCCTATATTACCCCTTATATAATCCCCCTTTAAGGAGTTTAGATCATGGCTCATATAATCCCCTAATTCTCAGGATTGTTCGCGCGAGCCCAGGAGAGACCGAGCCTTGTAAATGAGCTGGCCCAAGCCCTCCGTTAGAAGAGCTGACCCTTCATCCTTGCTGCCGAGAGATTATAAAGGGATTGTATAGGGGACATATAAGGACTACATAAGGATAAGATAGAGGTTATATAGGGGTTACGTAGGTTCTAGGGTTTGGCTTTGGGATGGTTGCCGTTGAAGAAGATGATGGGGTGAGACTGAAGGTCTCGAAGTAAGGCTTTCGCAAAAGGGCTTGAGGTTGACAGCATCAACAGTGCTTGGTTCGGGATTGGAGTGTGCAGGTTTAGCTTCGTGCCACTCATAATGAAGCAGGCTGGAGGCCTTTCCTTCTCTTTGTAAGGCCTCTTCCAAAAAGAGTCCATTTTGCAGCTCATCCGTAGACTATCATATGGAAATGTCAGCTTACTTCAGGTTTGGGATTCTGCCCTTCGAATATGGACCTGGCAGACTGTCAAGAAGCAAGACCCTCATGTTTTAGGGATGTACCAGGGAAGCCAGTTCCCGCACATTTTTGCGAGACACCCGCATTCGGATTACACAGCTGGTTAGGATCCAACCTGTCAATCGGAACGTTAAATAGGGCCTGAGAACATGCTTAAGCGGTTCTATCGTAAGAAATATCACAGGGATGGTTATAGGGGCTGGTGACGGGCGAATAGAACAACCTAACCATTATATCAGGAAAACATGGCAACTGTGGAGTGCGTGATCGTGCAGACTCAGACTCCTCTCACATCGCTTGATACGTTTCATGGGATTCTCTTCTCCAGTGCGACGTTAGAAGCACGCCCCGCATCGGATCTCCTATCAAGCCCGCAAAAGCGATACTCCGACATGCATGGAGCGAGATTGAAACCAGGAGACAAGAAGGCCTCAGAGAGCTATGCTCTGCTACTTCCGCCCTTAGAACCCAATATACTATAGTAGTTTCCATTTTATGTTCCCCTATCCATATATCATCCTAATATTACCCCTATAGAACCCCTATACAGTGGCAGTTTCCCTCTTATTTTTTGAGGACCGCCTCTTGGGACGCCCCACTCCCCTGTCGGAGACTATCATAAGCCATGAGCGGCGAGGGTGAGGGTTGGTCATTGAATTGGGGGGGAGTTATTTCCATGACCATTGCATTGCCTGGTCACAAAGTTTACGGCGCAGATGGCCAGGTATCACTAAACAACCTCTATGGTTGAAGACGGGCGCGTGCCGGAAAATGCGGGTGGCAGCATTACGCACGAACTAGTGGGAGATTACTTGAAGCTGTTTGTGCCGCTAGTTTCCCGCACATGTCACTTACTCTCGAATACTCAAATACTAAGTAAAGTAGCCCAACAACATTTGAGGACTTATTTGATATCCGGGCGTGGCGGAGGGGTGCTTGGGTTTAGGGGCAAGTGATTTCAAGCTGCATCCGAATTCTCACGTGACATGTTGAGCTGTTGTTTTGCTAACCTGTCTCCAGACAGGAAGTCAGAAAGCGAATACAGGGCCGCGATATGACAATTGATACTTCCTTGAAAGGCCCCTAAACCCTAACCCCCTGAAAGAGTCCAAGAGCCGTCTTCAAACCTTGACCTGGCAATTTTGTAGTCGAGTTGCCGGCTGCTTCTCATTATCTGCCGCACCACTGACTAACAAATCTGCAAAGTGCTCGAAGAGTTCAGTACCTGACTGATTGAAAAGAATCAAGGTTACTGCAAATTTCCGAAGACTCAGCAGCCAGAACCGTCCAAACGCTGAACACTAAAGCCGAAACCTAAAAACCACATCAAAAATAAAGCCGTGCAGGCAAAGCAACCGCAGATGCCCACGTGGGGGTTTGCATGCTTTGGGTTGTTTCGGGAGTACCTACAACAAGGACTCCAAAATATGTTGCAATATGTCGGGGGTTCCCCTATCGTCCCAAACCCACTCTGGCAGTGGGGCCTTCACACGCGTGTGCCTTTCTTCTTGCTGTTTTGATTAGCATGCGCACTTCTTAGAACTGTTGTGCACTTGAACTGTCATAGAAATGATATGAAACCTGCTGTGGCTGCAAACTGCAAACCATCCTGCAAGTGCTGTTGCTAGTCATGTTTCTGCAGGAGCCCTTCTTCTGTCCCAAGCCCCAGCCCCCATGACTATCATGTTGAATACTTCTGGGGGTCCATTTAATAAGGACTATAGTATGTTGGGGTCTATATTGGGGTCTCTCTATTTAGGGAACCTACCCCATCTTCCTTACCCCCAAAAGCGTTTAACCATGTCTTCTGCACCCTAAAGCCTAATAAACCCGAAACCACGTCCACCCTCCGTCCAAGCTGCGCTGCCGTCGTAGCATCATTTTCTTCTCGGCTGAATCCGATTCCTTCCTGCAAGGTAAGAACCCTGAGGTGCGTGGTTGTCAAAATTGTGGTCCCTTTTTGGGGTACCCTTAATATTAGGTGCCGTACTATAATAGGGATACAAAAAAGGGACCATAATTTTGACAACCACCCAGGTAACGAGAGGCTTGAGAGAGGTTTTCTGCGGGGGTTCGACACAGTTGCATCCAGGATACACAGCGTATAGAGGTAGAAAGTTCCTAGAGGGTTTATACTGGTTTTAGTGTATGGAAGTTTTGCAAACGGTTCATAGCTTTTATTGAAACAGGGTTCTCTGGAGGGTCTGAAAAGGGTTCAGAGAGGTTTCCTAGAGCTTCATTAGGGGATAATATTGGTATCAAACAATCAAACTAATAAATAGAAAAGCATACCGTTTCATTTGGGATTTATAGAGGTACTCAACGGATAGACTGAATATGTGGGTGGAATTGTAGGGAACCCAGACTGGAGCAGCTGAAGTGACTGATCCCCAGCTATGTGTACTAGGGGGCAGGTCCATAGAGGCTTTATGATGTGTGCAGCAGGTTTAAAATGCTTTTTTGAAGGCTCACAGAGGGTTCATGGTCTTATAGCAGGTTTATAAAAAAAAATGAAAAAAGTTTTCTGAGTGGCTTCTAGAGGGTTTCTAAGGGCTTCACACCATTTTATACAGTAGACGTAAAGGATCGTAAAGGGCTTCAAAGGTTTTATAGAGTGCAGGAGCTTTGCAGAGGCTTCTTAGCTTTTATAGGAGGCGTATGAAGGGCTGAAGGGCGTCTGGCAGGTCCTTAGACGGTTAGAACAGGTTTTTACGATTTTCATTCGAGGGATTACAGATACCGAAAGGAAAGATAGAATGTTTTGGGGGAACAGTATGGAGCCCCAAAATGATCCCTGGCTGTCTTTTTTGGGGGGCAGATTGATAATGTGCATCAGAGATGTATATAAGGCTTTTGAAGGTTTACAAAGGGTTCATGGTCTTTACGGCAGGTTTATGAAGGATTCAAGACTTCTTAACCAGAAGGTGTCTAGAAGGTTTGTAAGGTTTTACAAATGGTTTACAAAGTGCTCATAGATTTTAGGTATATAAGGGTTAATGTGTTTTCAGGAGGGATCACAAAGGTTGTATAGAGTTATACTGGCGGCTTCTATAGGTACCGAATGCAGGGATTGAATGTTTGAGGGTTTTATAGGGGTAGGGGTGGCTTACAGAGGTACCAAACAGATAGGCAGAATATTTGGGACCGAATCGTGCTTTTCGTGTTTGCGGGCAGGTTCATAGATGGTGTATGGAAAGGTTATCGTGTTTTTAAAAGTTATAACTCTTGTCGAAGGCTTACAGAGGGTTCATAGGTCATAGGTTTCATAGGAGCCTTGTAAAAGGTTCAATAGGTTCCTGAGGGGTTCTAGAAGGTGTCTGACGGTGTTGCACAAATCTATACAGGGCTTACCGTATGGAGGCAGAGGGTTTCTAGAGGGCCTCCAAAAGATGTTGGACTTGTTTACGCGATCCTTGAGTAAATTATTTGTCCTGGTTAAGCGGCTCCTTGCATATTCTATCTATGGTTTCTGCAAAATCACAATTTCAAGAAAACCGCCCAAAGATCTTATTCCAGTTACTTCAGGATGCATATTTCCATTATTACCGCGATCACTTCCTGTTTTAAACGGCGGTTTCTCCCACAAGGGGTTCCCTTCTGCCTGCTCCACACCCCGCGAGTTTTGTTCAAATCTATCAGTTCTGGGGCGGGCGGATACTTCGGCAGGGGTTTTGATGGTCCCATGAAATCGAAACCCTAAACCCTAAAAACCTAAACCCTAAAACCCTAAACCCTAAAACCCTAAACCCTAAACCCTAAACCCTAAAACCCTAAACCCGAAAGTCAGCCCAATGGAGACGGGACCTGCAAGCCTCGTCCAGAGGCTGGAAAAAGGGGAGTGTGGCTCTGGACGAAGCATTATATCACTTTGGGTTCTTAGGGTTTAGGGTTTTAGGGTTTTAGGGTTTTAGGGTTTAGGGTTTAGGGTTTAGTGGGGAATGAAGGAATATATTATATAGGGATTCTACAGCCTACTAAGAAAAGGTTTGTCATATGACTTGGGTTTCTGCAAAAGGGTACCTTAAGGCACCCCAGGCAAGCGCCAGCATGGGAACTATGAGGGATGATGGGGGCTCCGGATCATTTTGAGAAATTAGAACAAACCCTGCAGAACCCTAAGCAAACAGGGTCGTTTTCAGAAAGAGGAACTGTGGCATCTAAGCTTCCCAACACCTACAGAAGTGCGTGGAAAGGAAGTCCACAACCGTCCGAGCTTAGGGTTTAGGGTTGAAGGTTCAATTAGGGTTCAGTCCCCCAATATCTACGAAAACTCTGCTGAGCACGCATTTACTGGGAGAAATGGCAGCTGGATCTCAGCCCCCCACATGCAAAATGGATTCTTCCCATCTTCATGCTCGAAGGCCCAGGTTAGCAGATCTGTGGCCAAGCTCCCTTTCCGCAAACCCAGCACACCTGGGTTCGTGAAATGAACGGGATGGGGCATTATCTTACATGGTTGAGCCCTAAACAAAAAAGTTGGGATTTCAGAAAATAGGGGGCCCAATATAGACAGGAACACCATACCGATATCGAAAAAAGGACTGCGATGTTGCAATAGTCTTATTCTTGAGGTTCATGAAAGGACGAAGCCTCTTAGTATTCAGCTGTTCACAATGGTAGCTCCAAGAATAACAAGCAAGCCGACCACACTTTGAGATGCTTGTGAAATATGCAGGTTGCTTTGAAAGTCAACCAACCACCAGACATCTGCAAAAGAGTTTTCCCAAGCAGGCACAAGTGGCCTTTGACCACCGGCCAGAGCAAACCTCAGCTGATCCGGGGAGCTTTTCTACACTGTTCCTTCTTCTGGTCCCTCATTTCACTTAAAGCCCATGATTTAGACATGGGTACCCAAAAAGGGACCATAATTTTGACAACCACCCATATGTGGAGGGACAACTTGATTCGTTCTTTGAATCCCGCCAGCAAGTCCGGAACGGCCTTGCCTCTTGAGATGCGGGCGGATGGTTTCTAGCAGTGGAGCTATGCTGTGCCTGAGACTCTAGCACTCCGCGTTTAGGGTATGAATGATGATGTCTGATCCAAAGAAATCACAGCAATGTTATCAATGTTTCTCGAAAATTTGCCAGACTCTGCTGAATGAGCAATGGCAGCCCTTTAAAGTCTTTGGGGTGCCCGAAAGCCAGCTAATTACAGGTACAGTTCTAAAAGATTGATGCTAAACGGAGTGGCGGCCTTCTGAGCTATGACTGCCATCCTTAACTCGCCGCATGCATCCATACTGCTGGTACTAAAGCTCTTACAGGACCTTACTATACTACAATATCATACTTCCCAGGGTATGAGGTACTGAGGGTCATGCAGGATTTGTAGTATCCACCGTAGTTCATACGGCTCATACTCATTCGCCCCACCCATTCTCCAACCCGTTTCCAGACCTTCCCAAGCAGTTCTTCTTCAAGCCGAGGCATTAGAGTTTAGAGCGAACGAGCCCGAACGAAACCCTGAACCCTAAACCCTGAGCCCTAGACCCTGAACCCTAAACCCTAAATAGTAGTTTCCATGTTCTTTTCCATAATCCCGACATAACCCTAAATTACACCGCTATTATAACCCATTAACTTATATCATATAGTACTCTCCATGTTCTTTTCCATATCCTTATATATCCCCCAATACTATACCCCTAAAAGTGGAAGAAGCCAGCCCCAGAATGCTCTTCTGCAGCCAGTAACTTTTTCGGAGGCTGGAGTCCAGTGTAGCCCGGCCAGCCTGGCCCGTTCTTCCCCGGACTGCTTCATTTGGTTTTGAACAGAAAAAGCTCAATGAAGGGTATATATGTATATAGAGGGTTATAAGGTTATATAATGGTTTAGGGTTTAGGGCTCCCAAAACTGTGTGGTTTTGGGGGTCCCTATCATAAGGATTATAGTATTTGGGGTCTATATTGGGTTCCCCGAGTTTATGGAATCTACCAAATCGGAGTATACGTACTCTATAAAATGTCCTGTGAAAAAGTGAGCCTAGCTCTCTACTGGCACATTTAGGGTTTAGGGTGTAGGATGGCTCAGGAATCTCGTTCAAGCATGTGGGGAGTAATTACGTGGCCATTCCTTGGGCGGTTGGGACGAAGATTTTGTATCCTGTGAGGATGTTACTACTTAGCACCCACCATCTGACCCCAGTGTCCTGGTTATGGTCCGTTTTCTTGTCCACTTGATTCTCAGTAATGTGAATTACTTTTATGGTTACCCAGTAGCTGCAGCGAGTCCCGTTGGAAATCCTGTTCGCACTCCAGGCTCCTCCAACATGTTGACTGTGAAATGACAGCGTGCGCGCGAAGCAAGGGCATAGGATCTGCTTCATGATCTGCGCAAATCGCGAGGCTTTGTTCTCGCAGAAAGCCAAGCCCTGCAAAACCCTGTGTTGTTCTTGTATGCAAGGCCACGGAGCACCCAAATCAGCAGTACAAGAAGATGCAGGGACTGGGGAGGTGCCTATTCGAGTGATCATGTAAGGACGAAAAAATTCTTAGTTGATGCTTAAGCCAGGCCTGGATGAGCTTGTCAGCCAGCTTCTGCTTCCATGACAGCCTCCATCTGTCCGACTGCCGGTGCAAGTTGTAGCCTGAATATGGCAGGCCGAAGCCAGTGAGCGTCAAAGAAAACACCAAAAAGAACCCAGAGAATGTGAATGAGGGCTCGACAAGAGAAAGAAAGAAAAAGAGACAAACACACACACACACACACACACACAGACACTCTGACAGACTGCCGGACAAACAGAAGTGATCAGGATTGTCCTTCCAATTCCGCAGGACAGCTTCGTTCCGAATGTTCAATTTCCAGTTCACTTCACGTACCTGTCCTACAATGGCTGCACTGAACCCCCCATCTAGGCCTCAAACCACCATGGACCATGCCCACAGCAATCCCTAAAATGCTCCCCATCCTAAAGATCTGCCTTAAAACCCTGCTGCCCTATATCCGCGCATAAGCCTTGAATCATATCACCCTGAACCTTAGACCCTGATGACCCCTGAAGGCCGTAAGTCAGGTCACACGTCACCAGCGCACTCGGATCAACCTTGCTGGTTGTCAGGGTTAGGGTTTAGGTTAGGAATTGAGGAATGGATCCCAGGAGTAGTATCCATAAAAATAGTTGTGAACAATGAGAGCAATTTCCATGCCTTTTCCACTCCTTCACTCCCTACTAACAACTGGCAAGCAACGCCAGGGGCCAGCGACGCTAGCAGCTTATGCGAGGACAGCACATCTGGGTTCTCGTTCTCGAAGCCTTCAGCGCCCAAAGGTTGAGAGGCTTCTTGCTTGGACTTCGGGCTAGCAGGTCGAGGCTTAAGATTTGGGGTTGCCCAAAATTTAAGGGTTCCTTTTTGGGTGTCCCCAAAATAAGGATTGTAGAATTGTTGGGCCTATATTGGGGTGCCCCTGTTCATGGAAACTGCCATTTAGGATTTTAGGTTGAGGCTTGTCCGACAGCCATGACGTACTAGCCATGCCCGACTATTATTAGTAGTATGAATATTATCAGTATTGCCATCACTATTCTTACTAAAACTATTTTTACTAGTATTAGGATTTTTACTATTACTACTATTACTATGATTATTGCCCTGCAGATGCTTGAGTGATTCGGCTTGCGCATAGGTGCCGCAGGCGGCAGCACAGGGGGACTAAATCCTGATCTGTTACAGCATGTAGTTCAAAGTCTGCCAGGTCTTAATGTTTGGATTGAAGGTTTAGGGCATAAGGTCTGTTGCTGGTATTCCAAGCCTTATAACCCTTGGTAGTATTTTCAGTGATTGATTGAAGCCTGTGAGCAGTCATGATCTACCTTACTAGGCCAGGCCACATCAGAAGACTACCGCGCTGTTGGCAAGCAGCCCATCGTTTTACACGTAACATGTCTGCACATGCTCCGAAAACAGCAATCACAGAAAGAGCACAAAACTAGAGGAGTCTTGTGCCCTTGGTAAATAGGTTCCAGTCTTACACCGTAGGGCCTATATTATAACCCTCTGTTATACCCTTGTATTATAACCCTGTATACTATATAGTAGCTTCCATTTTCTAATTCATTATCCTGATATAACCCCAATATTATAAGGGCTCAGGATTTCAGACTCGCAACCTGCAGGCGCGCCCTCTGCGTAGAGCACGTCTTGGGCTGTGCACTTGCCATCGGGTTCTTGAGCTTTGGAGCCTCGAAAAGGCGTATAATATGGGGTCTAGGGTAATTATAGGCTTTCAGGGTGTAGGATATATAGGATTTAGGGTTTAGGGTACATAGGTTTTTGAGATAGTTTAGGGTAATGCTAACCCAGGAATGGAAATCAACTGGAAAGAAGATGGAAATAACATGGGTTCTTCTCAACATGGACGCTTTAGGATTTAGGGTGCCAGAACATGGTTTTGGGGATTTTGTGGAACACTCGAAATGCATCAACTGGTGGCCTGGGTTCAAACATGGCACGCTGGTTTTGGAAGCTAACTGCGTCTATCCGCATGACGGGTCGGGCAAGCAGTGGCGTTTAAACCTGCGCACAAAGCCGGATGCTCGTTGCAGTCCACATCAACACACATCATCTCTGCTCTATCTATAATAGCCATCTTAGACAATAATAAACCCTGCCCAGCATCTACTTGAGAAAATGCAGATGGCCAGAGTAGCCAAAACTTTGAGATCCTACTGGCAACTACGACATGATGGGGATTATATTTCGGCTACTAATTACATTTATTCCGGGGGGATTATAGTTCGACTACTACATTTATTACGTGGCCAGGCCCTTCTATCTTGACGTGGGAACCCCCAAAGAAGCTGCCAAAACCTTCACAAATCCCGCGTTCTTCATGCAAAAGCTGCCTCGCTCAACCACGCGAGCAGTGTCCACCACTGGTGCCACCAACAAGGCAGCAAGGATGCCTCAGCCCAGGATCATAGCCATCCAAATTAGCAAGATTACCTGGACCCCAAAAGTATGTAAAATAATGGCCTTTTGGGCTATTATTATGGGTTTAGGGCCATTATTTTACATACTTTGGGGGTTTAGGTAGTATCGTTCTTGGCTCCTCCGGAACATAAGCGTGCCAAACATACGTGCTTGGCCGACCCCTTCGGATGTGGTCTGCACAACACGGAAATCACTTTCGCCTTCTTTCGCAGGCTGAAAAGTCCTGCGTGCGTCACGCATGACGTTTTTGAGGCGCTGGAATTGTGCGACGAAGGAGGACGACATGCATCCAATTAGCATGGCATCCATCCCAAAACCATACTGTAATCTCACCCGTGCTCAAGTCCCATTAACATAGCATCCATGCCCAAACCATAGTTTAATCCATATTGGAGAGATTGCTTCCATGCCCATTAGTCCAAGTCTTGCCCTATTATTCCAAGCTCCACATCATCCAGCTTCGCCCCATTTGTCCAAGCGTGGGGGGCCCTGATTTAATTTCTAGTCGCCCTGTTAGTCCAAGCTTCGGCCCATTAGGCCAAGGCTCGTTTCCATGAGAAGTTCCAATTTGATTTTAGTCGCCCCATTTACATTGCGCCCCGCCTGCGCAAATCGTTGGTTGACTGTTGGCTTAAAAACACTGCAGAGGCTGCAAGCCATGCAAAGGCGGCATCCGAGTCCAGTGAGTTGTCTCGCCGGACGACGCGAACTGGATACTTGCATTACAACGTCGACTGCAATCATGCGGCTTCGATCAAACTTGGACTATGATGTTTACCGATCTGTTTCGCCCAAGTCCGTCGGATAGGACTGCAACAACAACGCAATTATCAGCCTGCTGCTTCTCTCCAGCCTAGATACTGGCAACATGCTAAGTGGCTATCTGAGCTCCCCCCAGGGCTTTTCAAATAATTACTCCCGCAAGCAAAAAAAGGAAGACTCACACTTGAGAATCTTGCGAAAGGAATAGGTCATAGTCATAGCCATAGTCAGAGGGACTTTCACAAGGTAATAACTACACGGTACTTTCCGAGAATAAAGGGACCCCAATCTAGACCCCCTAGTACTGCCATCTTTATGATAGGGATCTCCAAGACGGTACCCCTAATTCTGGGAAACCCCCATGTAGGGACTACTCGCGTCCGTCCCACCATTCCCTACTAACCACCACCAAGCTTGCAGAGACTTTGGCAACATGGGACCCGCCCTACAGAAATTACAAGGATACTATAAGGGTTAGATTGCAGGGATGTTACAGGATTTGGGATTTCGGGATATTCTGCCCGTAATGGACACTCAAATGGAAAATCAAATTAAATGCAGTGGAAGCGGGGGATATGCAGGCCAGAGCTTTGCAGATCCAAGACCAACCGAAAAATGAAACGAGAACTGGGGATGTGGGGGTCACGTAGCGTTGTATATAGTATATGGAGCAATTATTTAGGCTTCCGCTACGCCTAAGAGGGAAATCAAGGGGAATGATGTTCCGTAGTGGCCATGTTGGGAAAATTGAGAAACTACCAAACGTATCATGTTGGGGTCCAATCAGTTCTTTCTAGAAAACTGTTAGGACGTCATGGGATACCGCGCAGAATGAGATCCCTGCTGAGGACAGCGCAGTGAGCGCTACGCATTTTGCAGACAAAGGAAACTCTAGTCTAGCCTGCTAGACACTTGAGCCTCAGAAGAGCCACATCGCATTCATCTGAGTCACTTGGGAGCATGTGAGATCGAGGGCTGCGCCGTTTTAACTCCGCATACGCGAAATCATAGTATGTTGAGAGTACAAAGGAAACTTAAGGGGGGTTATATAGGGGATTATATATGGGACTACTATAGGGGTTGTTAAGGGGGATACTAATACGATGGAGGCAGTGGATGTGCCAAGCCAGGCATCTAGGCAGAAGCGTCATATCAAACAGCCACATGAGCTATAGTCTAA